TCGGGTGTATGGTTGTGAATTGGGGTAATAATTCTAAATAAAACTGATGTGTTTGCTTTCTTCCCTAGGAAGCAAAGGATTTCCTGAATTACGTTGTTCAGTGAGTATCTCTTGACTCTTTAATTGCTTATTATATGGAAACTATAATCAAGATAAGATTCTTTTCTGGAGGAAGGAGTCAGAGTGGGAGTGCTGAGAAATTCCCTTCTTCCCTCTGGTGTTTGCAGGAGGTGGCTGTTGATGGTGGCGGTTTAAGCAGATGTAGTTCTGGTTTGGGGAAGGAGAAAATACCATCAGACCAAGTGTGTAAATGTCTGAGTGTTGCTCTGGTTTTGGCCAAGGTGTGAGCAGGTGTTTGAAGTTGTGCTGTTTGTTCTCCCTCCAGAAAGCTCCACTTTGCTCCCCTGGCCCATCCCTGCCCTGTGCAGTTCCGGGTGGTGGATTTGCCAAACACCCACCTGCTCTGTAAGGTGAAAACTCTCAACAAGGGCGACGCCAACTCCGAGGTGACAGTCTATTACCAGGTACCTGTGTGGGCTGGGCTGGCCTGCTCCCTCTGGCACCACCCCTCCTTGAGACAGGCTCTGCACAGGGATGTCACACAGGGGACACACACCTCATATGAGCACAGGCCCTGTGCCCCAAGGCTCAACCCAAGTGGAATTCCCTGAATTCCAGGTGGGGTGTTCCTTGAAGCCAGCACCTCCCTTTCTGTACTGGTGCTGGGAGCTGGGTTAGTGCTGTGATGGCTTCCTGGTGTCCCCAGCTCTGATCCTGGGGGCTGGGCTGGGCCTGTCCCCTCAGGGAAAACCAGAACTTCCCATCTGTCCCTGCTGTGAATTGTCCCTCAGTGCTGCAGTCCAGGCTGAGGTGTGTGCCACAAGTCACCTCGGCCTGAGCAGTCACATTAAACCCACCCTAAATTCTTCATTCTCTTTCCAGTCAGGTGCCAGGAACCTGAGGGAATACACCCTTATGGAGCTGCTTGTGGTAAGTTTGTGTTTGTGCCTCCTAACTCAGCACAGTTCCCTTGAACTCTGCTTGGAGCTGAGGCTGAGGCTAACTGGCCCCCAGCGGTTCTGTTGCTGCCCCTGGCTGAAATGTTGGGGTGCTGCAGTGATGGACACTGCAGGAGACTGTTCCTGAGCTCCCAGCCCACAGGACTGAGCTCCCTTAATGCAGTGGTTGTGGCTGGCCAGGGGCACTTCAGTGTCCCTGTGCTCTGTGTGGAGCCCTTGGGGGGCTGCAGGCAGTGTCACCTCTGCTGTACCTTTGTGCTCTTTCAGATGCACATGGAGGAGCCTTGCTTTGACTTCCTGAGGACCAAGCAGACCCTTGGGTGAGTTCACTGGGAGGAATTCTCCTGCACCTGCTCCTACACCCCTGCTTTGACAGGTCTCTGGTGGTTTTACTCTGGGAATCCTTCCTGCACAGTGGCTAATCAATTACAGTTGCTGTAATGGAAACAGCAACATCAGCACTACAAAACCAAAAGCACCCCCAATACAAGGTGCAAGCCAAGTTGCTTTTGACTTCTGTAAGAGTTGCAGCTATTACCCTTGTGTTAACTCGGGATTATTCAGCATGAAGTTGTTCCTTGCACTTCCAGAGTCAGCCCCCCTTCCCCAGGGCTGTTTTCACAGCAGCTCTGTGGTGCTGAGCAGCCTCCCTCAGAGCACCCTGCTACCTCAGCAAACTGGAGCAGGCTTTTCACAGCTCTGGGTCTCTCACTGTGCTTGGATGAGTTTGCAGGAACCCAAATAAAACACTCTCAAGTTTAAAAGGATTTCCTAAAGCTGAGAAAGCACTGAAAAGCAGCAATGCAGAAAATAAAGAAAATAAGACTATTGCAAATTTCGATCTCAGATTTTTCTGTCTAGAGTACCAACACTATTTTAACTTGCAGCATGTCCTGTAAATGAAAAGTTAATTGTGCTTGTGTCTTTTTTCTTTGAAGCTACCACGTGTACCCCACCTGCAGGAACACTTCTGGGATTCTTGGCTTCTCAGTCACAGTGGCAACCCAGGCAACTAAATACAAGTAAGTGCTCTGTGGGGAGAGTTCTCCACTACTCCCAGCCCTGGCTGTGGGAGTCACCTGCTCCCAGGTAAGAGTTCCCTCCTGTTTCAGGCCACAGAGGGATTTTTTAATTCAAGAGGATGTCAGAAGGGACACTGCTGACAGTCACAACATCCTGACTCAAAACCAGCACCTCAATAAAAGAGTAGCCTTAGGCTGCTTAAAACTGCAGTGGTCCTGACTTGAATAGTGAAAAGTAATCTCAAGACTAAGTAAAATATCCCCCTGCCCTTTTGAAGCTGTTCTGCCAGGAGAGTTCAAATCCTGTCTAGCTGTTTGGTGGCTCATGTTCAGCAGGCACAGCACTGCTATGGTTTTGTTCAAACCTGGGCCTTTGAACTACAAGCATTTGACCTGCCAGAGTTGAAGGGTTATTTGAAAAATGTGCCACTTGTGAAAAATAACACTGTGTCAGTGAAAGCTTAATTAGCACAGTGCTGCTGCCTCTAATTTTTACATTTGGATGCTTCCATTACTGAGATCTGTGTCATCAGTGAGGGTTATAATGTGTCAGAAACCTCAGGATCCATCACACCACATTTTCTTTCAGTCCTGATCCTTACAGCCCCTAACTCTGCAGGGCTCAGGGCTGCAGCTGGGGACAGCAGAGCAGGTCCCCAGCAGGGCAGGTCCCAGCAGAGCAGGTCCCCAGCAGGACAGGTCCCCAGCAGCATCCCAGCAGTGGCCTCTGGGGTGCCTGGGCACCTGAAGTGCCCGAGTACAGCTGAAAACGAGAGCACTGCAAAGACTGACCACCAGGTGTTCTCAGATGAGTGAGCTTTTCAGGGGATGAGGGAAGTGAGCCTGTCCTTCCTCATCATATGGGGGCTGCTACTTTACCCCTTAATGTGTTTTGTGGATTTGTTTTTTTCCTGCCTAATTGAATTATTTGTTTCTCTTTTAGTTCTGAATTAGTTGACAGAAAAATAGAGGAGTTTCTTTCTTGCTTTGAAGAGAAAATCAAGGATTTATCTGAAGAGGCTTTTAGCACCCAGGTAAAATGTCATCTTGAAAAGCTCTTCTTTGAACTGCATGATTCAGTTACAGCTATCTGGTAATTTTCTGAGGTTTTCTGGACAAAGGCCTCACCTTTTAAAACCTGCCTCTTGCTCTGTTCTGCCGTTGTTCCCTAAACATCCATTCTCTGACCATTTGCAGTTAAGCTCAAAAGGAAGGAGCTACCTCGTTAATGTAACTCAGCTTTTCTTTCACCTGCAGTGACTGTGTTAGTAAATTAAGGTAGTTTTAAACCCATTAAAACTAATTGTCTTTTTCCCATGTAGGTAACAGCTTTGATAAAACTGAAAGAATGTGAAGACTCCCACCTTGGGGAAGAAGTGGACAGGAACTGGAATGAAGTGGTGACCCAGCAGTACCTGTTTGACAGGCTGGCACGGGAGGTGGGTGTTCTGCAGTGGTGGGACACAAAAACCACACTGGTTTTGCAGCAGTTTCAAAAGCATACATGGGATTTTTGCTGCTAGTGACACACTGGGTCTAAAATTACATGTTATTTTAAAAAGGTTCTTTTATCCAGTGGAGTAGGGGTTGCAGAGAAAATATTTTTATGTTTGAAATTATTTGAATCACCACTGACCTCCTAAAACCTCCTTCCTGTGGGTTTCAGATTGAAGCTCTCAAGTCTATTACACAAGCAGACCTGGTCAACTGGTTCCAAGCTCACAGAAGCAACCAGAGGAAAGTGCTCAGTGTACATGTGAGTGTCTGGCAGCTCCTGCTGCCACCTTCAAGAAGCAGAGTGCAGTAAGGGTGTGGCAGAGATCTGTGATGTCACTCTTACTCTGGTTATCCACATTTTCTTCATTTATAAGTAGTGTTCTTGTTAGAATTGCATTTTAGTATCAAGTTAATTGTCAGGGCAGAGAAACACTGAATGAGATCCCAATTTCTCTTCTGGTACCTTTTCCCAGGTGATTGGATATGGAAAGCACGAAGGGGACTCAGAGGTGACAGCTGTCTCAGGACAGAACTCTTCATCTGGTGAAATACCTCATCTTGTTTTATTGCCCCCCTCCTCTCTGATGCGTGACTTTACTTCCATCAAGGACATCAAAGCCTACACATCAACTCTGAATGTTCTCCCTTACCATAAAATATTGAAATAAAACTGATACCTTGCCCTGCCCTGCTGTGTAATACAGGTGCTTTCTGCAACATCAACATTACAAACCTGTTTTTATTAAAGCAGAGCTGTAGTGGTAGCTGGGATGAAGAGCCCCTTCAGACACTGAGGAAGCTTTCCTCAAGTTTCCAGCCAACCTCTCATCACCTTCCCAAGTTCATTAAGAAGAGGCACAGCCCTGACTTCCCCACGGGTGCCACACTCTCCCCTCCAGCTGTCTGGAGCTGTGGGCTCTGCCTTTGTGTCCAGCCTGGCTTGTGCCATCCCTCAGTGCTGCAGCAGCTCCTCAGCAGTGACAGCTCCTCAGGAAAGGATCTGCAGCGCTCCCGGAGCAGTGACAGTGGTGGGAGGGAGAGAAAAGCCCAAGGCTTCCATCTCACACTGCTTTTTTAGTTTTTCTGTATGTGCAACATAGACAAAATTAAGATGAAATCAAATAAAAGCTAGATTTAACTGTGGAGAGAAAAGTAGTTTGATTGCTACATCTAGCTACTTACTCAGTCATTATTAACTGCAGCAAAAGCACACAATGCAGAGGTTCCTGACGTGCTAGCAAGGCTGGATGTAGAGTCCAGAAAACTTCTCCTGTGGATGTTGCAGATGCTCATTTTGCTAGTTCATTAACTACTTTAATAAGTAGGTTTAGCTAGCTGCAAGGATTATTCCAGTGGAAAAACAAATACCTCTAATACATTTCACATAATTAATTTATCATGACTCAACTGAAAAAGTCTTCCTGCAAAGGTTTATTATGAAATAAATAAAAAGTCCATAAGAGAAGTTTGAAAAATCTATTTTATGAAGCTTTAAGATGCATTGGGTAGAATTATCTATGGTTACATTTCAATCTCAAAATAACAGTTATTTTGGGCAAGACACTGAAATGCCAAAAGATTTGATTATCGTACAGGTGGAAGATAACATTGATGTAGCATTTTCTAACAAACTGTCCCATCAGAGGAACCCTCATATTTACACATTGCAAACATCAGCGAGATTTAAATGACACCTTGCATTTTGTTCCTTGCTTTTTAAATATGTAGGACCCAGGATTATTATGCAACTGCTCCCACCGGTGGCATTCACAGTGGTTACAGAGTGTCTGTGCCCCAGGCCCAGCCTCTCCCCGCTCCAGAGGGAGCAGGAGCAGGGCCTGAGCCCGGCCCCTGCCCCCAGAGCCGGTCCCTGCCCGGAGCTGCTCAGCCTCTCGTGAATTGCTTTGTCTGTCTCAGTAAGTCCAGAATCCCTGAGAAAGGAGCCGCTGCAGCTGCAGGGCGGGGCCGGGCCGCGCACGGTGCGATGGCTGCGGGGGTCGGGCTCTGCCGCCTCTGCCCAGCCCGGGCTCCGCGGCCCTCAGTGCTTGCCGGCAGCCAGGCGCTTCAGCAGCGGCTCGTCGTACACCCAGCACTCGCCGTCCTCGTGGAACAGCTGCAAAGGAAGAACCACGGGTAAGCTTCTCCTGGAGAACCGCAAAGGAACCAAGGCTACAGGCCTTTGAGCTTCACCTTGCTAGAATAAAGCTCACCCTGGTTTCCCACGAGGTCTCGTTCTCCTTCCTGGCCCTGGCCTCGGCTCGCTGCCGCTCCTCAAGCGCGTGCTTCGCGGCCGTGGCCGCGTCGATGTCTCTGATCTTCAGGTTGTAGGTGACATCCTTCCATAAGCTTCAAAGAGAAAGGGCAAGGGAGACTTTTATGGGAGCAGAGTGCTACAAGCTGGAGACATAGCAGTGAATAAAGGCAGATGTCAGGTTAGAGGAAGGGCAGAAAAGCCCTCAGGATATGTGATATTTGTGCTGCTACGGCAGGAGGGAGGAGGCTGTGGTGGAGCTCTCCAGACCTCCCTGAACATTTGATCCATTTGATCCCAATTAGGATGTGTCTGAGAACTCCAGGTCTCCTCTTCCCCCTTAAATCCCCAGCCTGCCTGTACCTGGGCTCAGGGAGAGCAGAGCATGCAGTGCTTGGATCAGTGCAGCTTTAGTCCCTGTACTGCAAACTGCAGTCTAACTCAAATAAAATCTTAATGTTCCCAGTAAACTGAAGTTCTTACCAGCGAGACTCAAAGTCGTCTTGGTCCTCCAATTTCCTTACCTTCTTCTTTATTGTAGGCATTTTCTTGGTATCTATAAAGACAGCATTCTCCTGGAGTGGAAGATGAAAAAGAAATAAACCTATTCAGTCCTTTAGCTAACTTCAAATTTTCTACACTCTAGTGCACTGGTTAGCAGGAAATATATGAAACATGGTAATTCTTCATGTTCTCTTCTTGTACAGAAATCAAGCTTCCTTAAGAACAAATGAACAAATTTTACCCCTAGTTCAGCATTCTTTTGGACAGCCTCATAGGAGGTTCCAACTATTAATGTTTGTTTAAAATAAAATACCAATCCTACAAACCCACCCCAAACCCCCCCTTCTAAGTACAATCTTGTATTTCTGATGAAAGGAGAAAAAAAGCAAGCTGTTACCCCTGTGGAGTACTTTGCATACATGACCCCATTCCATTCTCCTTCAATGGAGCAGAAGGGTTTCTTGTCATTTGGAGAACTAAAGAGAAACAAACAGTTATTTCTCAGCTGTATTACAGCAACTGAAAAATCCTAAAGGATCAAAACTTGGTCTTCTGTAAAGCCTGGTTTATATCAGCCAAAGTGTCCATGCCCAGCACAGAAGAGAGGAGGGTTCTGTTTACAAGGGGCCAGTTTGGCAGAGTGAGTTACATAAACCTTAAGAGGAAGCACTGAAAAGGGTAAAACAGGCCTTGCCCGAGGGCTGGATCTGCATTTGGAGTTCAGGAAAGCACTTACAGGCCTTCCATACGGAGGTAGGGTGGTGAGTTTAAGCTTAAAAAAGGTTTCCAGACTACTGGGAAACACAAGACACCAGTTTTTAAATGGCATCTATCAATGTGTCAATGATTTAAAACCAAGTTAAATTTCATTTTGTCAGCATCCACTCGCTGGCATCACAGCACATCTCCAAATGGGAATCTCCACTGAATTCTCTGTGCTGGGTATGTGCACAGGGTTTAACCAAAATCCACCACACCACAGGTAAAATACATGAAGTTTTCAACTGACACACTGTGAGCAGTATCCCAAGGCTTGCTGCAGTATTTGTATTCGTAGGAAAGGTAATGATGGAGACACTTGATAATTCAGGAGAGCAAAGTTCCCTTTGGGAATCAGCTGAGGATGTTTTCAAGCAGCATAAAGTAGGACATGGGCCTGTGCAGCTCCCTCTCACAAACTTGGCTATAAAATTCCATGACAGGTAATGATGAGCTAAGTTCTTCTGGGTGTTGCTGCTTCAGCGTTTTACATTCTTGACTGTCTTGTTAAAGCTGTTGGCATTTAAGGAAGGAAAAAGTGAGACTGAAGGAAGCTGCTTACAAAATTTCAGCTGTAATTCTGTGCTTCTTTCCTCCATAAAATGGTTTTGTGTGGAAGACGATGGAAGCGTTGTAACCTGTCTTGGAGCAATTGATGCTGCACTCCCCCCCAAGCTCTATCCATGGCACAGTGAGAATAGACCTGCAATTAGAAACACAGAAATGCACTAATGATAAGCTCTTGGCCAATAAATACTAAGCATGAAACATTACAAGGCATTAAAAATGAAAATACCAATTAGAGCATTTACTTGCCTTCCATAGCCATTAGGAAAAGTCAAAATATAGTGTTCATCATGATCTAGGCATGTAACACACCCTGTTAAAGAAAAATAAAAATAGATTTGAAAAACATTAAGCGAAACCTCTACAGAACTTTTCATAATGATCCCATGAAATATGCCACTAAAAACAGGTGCCATGAAAAGGAAATGTGAGGAGCTTCATTTTTAATGGATGCTGAGAATGCCAGCTTCTGGAGGAGGCAGGGATGGCTGTATTTTTGGGAAAAACTGGGCCCTAGGTGTTTTCAGCACACAGAGAGGGTGGAAGGCATCTCTAATTCAGATACATAAGCTCCAGTTACATAAATTCAACCACTGCTTACATTTAGTACCATGACTTTAAATAATTTATGTAAATTATTCTATTAAAAATCCTAGTTGCAGAATTTAACTTCTCCTCTGCTGTTCAGTTCACACACACATACCTTGCCCTATGTTATGGACCCCAATAGACATTCCTAGGAATTTGGACTTGGTCCATATGTGAGCATTGAACTGTATCCTCTTGCTAAAACACTCTGCGTAAAATGCTGAAACTGAAGAGAGAGGCAGGTGTTAAAAACAGCACAAGACACTGATTCCTTTGTTCCCAAATTCATTCACTGGGAAATATCCCCAGGTGCCTCACACTTTATGTGCAACAGAGTTTGCAGTTAATTTCTCACAAAAGCAGTTTATAATTTTTCAGCCTTTATAAATATTCAGCTTTTAAATCTGAAGATAAAGTTCAAATCCAAGATTTAAGCCAAGAGCTGATTTTACTGTCCCCCCTCCAGCTGCCACCTCTCCTGGCAAAGGTACTGTCACAACTTACTTGGAGGATGGTGAGAGACCTGCTCTGCCACAAAGGTGACGTTGCTTTTACTGACCCAGGGGACTGGTCCTTCTGAGACTGGCTCCTGTGGGACAGGGAGAGGATTCCATCACTCACAGTGCCTGCAAACACTGCAAGCTTCCCAGAGAAGCTGCCTCCATCTTTAAAGGCTTCTGAAAGTGTACTGCAGCACTCCTTAGTCCTGGAACTACAATCCTTTCTAAAGGATCTACTCTCTTATTTTTAAGTATAAATGTCGTTGTTTTAATTGTCCCCAGAAAAAAACAGTCAAACTGAAAGACTCATGCATAAACCCAATTACAAAACAATATTTAAGTGGCAGAAACAGTTTTTGGTTTTGCTTCTGAAAAAGTCTGACCTGCATATTAATAATGATCACATTTCATGTACCACAAAACCATAAACTAATATTTATTTCCTGTGGCAAAGACTGCAAAGTGTAGTTAATTCATGGTTAGAAGCAGTGGAAGCCCAAATACAACACTGCCTTTATGCCAGCAAATTGGAGTGCAAATATCCACCTCAGAAACAAGACTTCAGCAAACAGATCAGTGGGAAGCAAAAGAAATGGGAAAAATACATGGCTTATACCCAAATGATCACATTGATTTGGATGTATTACACTGGGGCTACATGAAGCACCTCACAGCAGCACTTCCCACACCACCACTGGCAACTTCCTAAGGCAAGAAGCCCAAATGAGGAGCCAAAAAAGAAAAACAACAAAAAACCCCTCTGGGCTGCACTGGCTTAAAAAATAAAAGCAAAAAATCAGAACTTTGGGAATAAACAAAATCATAATCAGTGCTATGAAAAAGTTCAGGGGAAAAGGGCATTTTCAACATGTCAAGCCATTCTTTAAAAAACAAACTTTTTCATGCATGATTTTATACTTCTATCAAAAGAAAACAAGGAAGGAAGGGGGAGAATTGGTTAAGAAATTGCTACACTTTGTTGATTTGCTACTTAAGCACAGCATAATCCATTTCAGTCAGTGACTTAACAAAGCTTTGGGTTGCACCTCTGCACTGTGGGCTCCAAACAAACACCCCCAGAAGCTCACCATGTCATCTTCAGTGCCAGGCAGCACCCAGTGGCAGCGGAAGATCTCCCCCAGAATGGGATTGTAAGGCTTCTTAGCAACTGACCCTTTCCTTCCTGCATGGAAAGCTGAGAGGTACCATTTAACCACCTGAACCATCCTCTCCTTGGGATCCTTCTGGTCACTAATGCTACAGAGAGAGAGAAAAAAGGAGAGGCAGAGTGAAACATAAGCAGGGACCTCGGATACAGGAAAGTTTTACACTTGTTTTACAACTAAAAGTTTGGCTGGTTTGACTGTTTTTAAAGTTCCAACCAAAATCCAAGAAACATTCTTCAAAAAGTACCAACTTCTGGCAGCCACAAGGGCCATGACCAGTATGAGAACCAGTGAATGCTCCTGTTCCAGTCCAATACCTGACAAACAGGTCCGGATGTGCAAAGAAGTCAGCATACATTTCCAACAGCGACCTTCTCTCCAGGATAAACGTTGGAAGAACCACCTGAGTGAAGAAAGACAGCTCATCCAGCTCTAGGCATCTGAATATCCTGTACAAAAGCCAACTGCAAACAGAGCACCCACAGCATTGTGTGCTCTCAGCTGATTGTGAGCTCGAGCTCACCAATGAGTTCTGACATATGCAGGTCAGTTGGCATCTTCTCCACACCCTAAGGCTCAACAGGAGCAGCCTCATCCTACATGGATTCTAGTCCCACCCAGAGCACAGCAAAAGCTGTTCTGAATTACAGCATCACTGCTGATTTAATTTCATCTCTGTGAACACTGCCAATTTTCAGTTACACTCACTTGCAGTCCCATCCTGCTGCATGTACCTGTCAAAATGAAGGTTAAGCTCTTCCCTACTTCTTCCCAAAGGTCCATTGTGGATCTGCTCAGTGTGATCCACCAACAATTGCTGTTGCTGACATGGTACATGCTCATAAAGATTCCTGGCAGCCTAATTTGAGATCAGTAATTTTCAGTTATCCCAGGAATTCCCAGAACAATTTGGATAAATTCCTATTCAGAACTGCCAGAAACCTGGAGCAGTTTGCTTGTGAGCTGCTGGCTGTTTCCCCAGAAAAGTGTTATCTTTTTATTATCTACTGCTCATTCCAGGCTGGACAGCTCAATTCATCCACTTAAGGAAACTTAAGGATAAGGATTGATCTCTCCTGTCCTTTCTCACTCTGGAATTACTTGTTACATTTATCCAAGCTGCCTGGAAAGACCAACACCTTCAGAATGCTGTTCATTCTGCCTTCAGACAGACACCAGCAGGAATCTCATCCATGAAGAACCCAACCCTTTCCTTACCAGACCTAAGAGTAGCATTTCAAAATACACAGGCAACTTATTTACTCATTAAGATCCCAGCTAAGCCAAGCTTTTCACTATATGGTTACTTCTCCCTTTCACTTTGTGTTTTATTGAATGCCATGGATGATATGGATCCATGGATATGAATGCCATGGATAATGAATGGATCTTGTAGCTCTTTGTTCTAGGAAGCTAAGACAGGAGTAACATTCCAGCATTCTCCCTATGCCAGCTTCACAAGTACTCCAAGAATTAGGTTCAAAGAGAACAAAGAGCTACTTGCCATAGCAAACTATTTTCCCAAACAGATTTTAGCATCTGGATATATTTATTCTGCAGCTGCTTTTCCCCTTCAGTATGAACTCCAATTCAAAACCACCATGCTAAAGAGATTACAGCTTAACTATCTCATAGAACAAACATGTAGTTACATCATGTAACCTTTTTTTACACAGAACTCTGGGTTTACTGCCCCTCCCATCCCCATGAACCCCAGCAAGTTTACCTTGGTGAGGTCCATGCCTAATCTCACTTGTGACAAGAGATGCATGATGACACTTTTGTGCTCCTCCACCGACTCTCCTTCCCCATCATCTTCTCGATCGTCGGGAGGATCAAAGAGATCTGAAGGACCAAATAAATGGCTTTTGTTTTCCTCTAAACCTTCAAAACCAGACTGTATTTCATCAGCATATATGTAAAAAAATACAGGTGTAAATCCTACAATTCAGCAATCTTCCATTAGTAAAGAAACAGTAGATAAACCACTTCCCATAAGTACCTGGCCATATACACACACACAAATATATATATATATATATATATATATATATATATATGTATATATAAAACCCTGCATATATTTACACACAGACTGACAATCAATAACTCCTTACTGAAAGTTCACACAGGCCACTTACCAGCATCATTTGTGCCATTAGACATGGAAGAATTGAGGGACTCTGTGGTATCTGGACGTTTCAGGCTGCTCCCTGTGCTGCTCCGAGTCAGGACTGCAGCAGACCCTGAAGAACTGAAGAAGACCAATAAATTCTCACAGTTCAAATTAAGTAATTCAGACCACATTATTTGATATTCACAGACCAGGAATTTAGTGATAGACATCAATATATGTGCAGTGGCAGACATTAATACACATGGTGCATGCTAATTCACAGAAAGCTCAGAATGGATTGCAGCTGAAGGAAGGGGACAGCCTGCAGCCTCAGGTAACACATGAAGGCAGAAAACAGCTGACTAATTCCTCTTTGGAATGTGTAGCATCTCTTAAAATTAATTTTTCAATTAATAAAAAATGAAGAGTAAATAGAGATTTTGAGAAAAGGGTGCCAACTTCAAAGAATGTCTTTTAGCAAATGTGTGAGGGCATTGGCCACTCACCAAAGGCTGCAGCAAATGCACCTGAAATGCACCATGGCCTCAGATTCCAGCCCTGAGCTGGGGCTTCCACAGTTTGGTTTGTTAGAGTTTGTGAACACGTATCTGATGGAATGGGAAGGAGCAGAGGAACAAACTGCCTCCTTCTACCTGTCTGTGGCTGAGGGCAGGGGTAATCTCACTCTGTTACACAAAGTGGCTTTTTGACCTCCCCCACCTTTTTAAACCAATTTCTGCAAGCAGACGAGCCATGCCCTTGGAGATACAGACTGCACACAGCACACACTGCACACTGTCAGCTACTTACTCCATACATCTCTTTGGGGAAGAACTGCTCTGGTAGAACTCATCAGCATCATAGAACTCATCCTCACTGCTTGAGTAAGAAAAATCTGGGACTGTGTTTGGAGACAGGTTGACATGGCTTGGAGAGGTGAGACTGCTGCTAGGTGCCGACTGCCCACTCCCTGTGGAGTATTAAAAATTACAGAATCAATAAAAATGAATTCTTTCAAAATCTACTTAAACAAGAATTGGTCAAATCAATAAGGGCTGATGTAAACTCAGAATTGAGGAAAGTACAAAATTAAAAGCAATAATTAGGTAGGTTCATAAAGAGTTTAACAGTTGACAAAAGGAAAGTCACAAGGAAAATGAAGAGCACAGAAAGTTTAAGGGACATGTTTTCTCCAATTACTGCAAGATTGCAATTCTGGGGAGACAAAGGGAAGCTGGCAAAAGTCGTACACAGTGTGTACACACGGTGGGGAGAAAGAGCAGCATTACTGGCTTTAACAAAACACTGAAATTGGTGTTGATCAAAAGCAAGATGCAGGCCAATAATACTGTTGTTTCAATGACTAATTCCAGGGTTTCTTGTATTTCAATAAGTTACAGAACTGTACCTGTACTATTTGGTGTTGGAGTCTGGTTCCCCAGCGATGCTACCACAGGTCCCACTGGCAAAGAGGAGGGGCGCTGCTCTGACTTGCACAGCTGAGCAGGTTCTAGGGGATATTTTGACATGTTAACCCCAAAATTTAGAACATTTCACATTATTTCACCTCACCTCCAAAAATCAAATCATTTTCTATAAAAGCCATTTGAACAGAAAAACATGTAGCATCACTTTTACCTAGGTCCTTCTTTTATTAACCAAAGATGGCATTTAAAAAAAAACTGCAGTTGTTCAGCTAGAAAGCATTTGCCTTTTCTGAAAATCATAATTTCATTTTCAAAAAGAGTGTTAGAAATGCAAGCCAGTAACTGAGAGTAAATAAAAGACATCAGGTTATCCCCAGAACCAGGCTGGTGAGAATTCTCTGTGCCTCCTGTCCGTGCTCAGCCCCTCTGAGCTGAGTGTGCTGTCACTGCTCTGGGTGGCTGCTCCCAGCTCACCTGGCAGTGTGACAGCCTGGGAAGGGGCTGTTCCCAGCTCACCTGGCAGTGTGACACCCTGGGAAGGGGCTGTTCCCAGCTCACCTGGCAGTGTGACACCCCGGGAAGGGGGATGTTCCCAGCTCACCTGGCAGTGTGACACCCTGGGAAGGGGGATGTTCCCAGCTCACCTGGCAGTGTGACAGCCTGGGAAGGCATGGTGCTGATCCCTGATGGCTCCAAGGGGCTGGGCTGATACACGGCGTCCACGGGGTTGATGGTGCTCTAGGCAAAAAAAGAAAAGCACATTTTTTCCCCTCAATTAAAACAAAATAAAGCATAGATAGCAAGAACATTGTGAGCATGAGAAATGCCCAAATGCAAGAGAGTGAATCCCTGGCAGAGGAAGTAAAACACAAATTGACAGTTGAGGATGTGAGAAATACTTTTGAGGTGGGAATATTTTGATTCTTCACACAGACTGCACAATAAATTGAATTTGATGCAGATTTGAAGCATCCTATAAAGAATTCTTATTTCAGGTTCTTGCTTCTGGTATGCCACCCAATGTCCATTAATTAATAATGCATGCAAAGAGTGGAAAGTTAGATGCAAATTATCTGGCCAAAATTAGGATAGGTAATCAGTATTTAAATTTTTTTTTCTCAAAAATTCATTTTGCAGATCAACCCATAAATCAAAACAAGAATCATCAGCATGCTTAGAGCCATGAAGCAGCTTTGTTGGCAAAATTCTTCCCAAAGCAAGGTGACAGTGTTCAGTGCAGCTCAGTAGAGGACATCTCAACCTACTTCTGAATGTGGGCACTTGGAAAATGAAGCACCAGGTCAATTCAATGCTCCCAAAAGTCACTGACTTCAGTTGATGTCCTTGGAATCAACTTATGCATCAAGACCCTTGGAAATCTAAACTGCCATGACTTTTAACTCAAAATATCATCCAAGCACTGTTTATTATTTATGTTTACACACAACCACTAGAACTTCTTGGTTGTTAGTTGAGTAAAAGGGACATAAAACCCTTTTCCAAACACCTTGCAATTTAAATGCCTGATCTATCAGAACTATGTAAATTTTTGCTCAGTTTGCTCAGAAATGCAGTCAGTATGTTCATCCCTATCCACTTTTTTACACCAATATTTAAAAGAAATGTCTACAACTGTTCTTCTCTCCCTTTAGTCCATTAATTTCTATTTGCATTCAGACTGAGGGAAACGGGCTCATTTTAACTTTCCTCCCATTTTCCCTCTACAGGCAGATTTCTTTCTTGCCTTCTTTCCCAGTTACCTGAAGTTCTGAACTTTATCCTACATTTGGATGTCTGGACAATGCTCTCAGACACTTGGTGTGATCCCTGGGGCTGTCCTGTGCAGAGCCAGGAGCTGGAGCACTATGATCCCTGTGGATCCCTTTCAACTCAGGACACTGTATGACTCTAAAAATCAGTGAAAAGTTCTATTATTTTTTTAATAGCACAGGATTCCTTTAACTAAAGACAGAATAATTATTCTCTGATCATCACTAAAAAAACTTCTCCATTAAAAACATCCATAAAAGTAGCTTTCTACAGTTTCTTTGGTTTCACTGCTCAGTATACAAATAATCCAGTACAGGTAACATTACTCCACTGCATTTCAGCATAAAGTCAATGCCCCTTACCCAGTACTTCACCTCCTTGTGGAATTATGTATTCAGCACAGGAAGGTCCCTGTCCCACAGAGTTCACAGTTTAAAATGATGATCCCATCTTAAGAGTTAAGATTTAAAACCCAAGATGGTTCTATGATACACAGGATGCTATTGCTACCTACATCTCCTTTATCTTTTAGGGAAACTAATAATCCACATGATACAGAACACTGGCATGATAAAGGAAGAACAAAGTAACTCTGATTTTGTACTCAGGGTTGTAACCTCATCCTTGAACAATTCTCCATACTGCAATATGAACTGGAGTTTCTTGTTGGATATTTTGAGGGATGCCTTCGTGGGCTAGAGACAGCTGAAGGCAGACCTGGAAGTCCCTACTCTGAGTTTCATAACAATTGAATAACAATTACACAGAAACAAGACTCATCCCACCATGGCAGCAAACAATGATTATATTTCTGCCTAATTTTAAAGTGAAATCCTGACCTTTAGCCCAAGGTGATGTTGACCTCCACAGCATCACAATTTTAGACTTCACAATCACTGACCCATAGTTAATATATTCTTACAGAAATATTTTTTCCTCCCCAGTATAAGCCAGCCCAGATAATGAGATCAGTGGCTAATCAAATTCAGACTACATCAAGCTGCAATATCTCTATGAAATTTCTGAGCTGCAGCCCAGATGTGCAGGTGACCTGTGCCTGTGGAAGTGTCTTCCTGCACAGCTTCTCTTTTCCAGGGGACATCACAGAAGCTGTTCCCTCTATGTTCCATCCACAGGGAACATAACAATTCACCTTATTTATGATAAGCATGAAACTAAAATGTGCATGTGCATCTTCAGTCCATTTTCACACCAGAAAACCCTACTGCTAAAGCTGTTTGTAGTGGACAAACAACCAAGGCCTGGGAATTACTGTCAGCTCTAATGAAAACACATCAGGATTTTTAGAGTTTTTACTGAAACCAATCTACTGTTAAAAGTATCTGAAATGTACTCAAGTGACAAAAAAAGAACAAAGAAAGAGAAACCACGTGTGACCAAAACCAAAAATGACAGAAGTTACATTAAAAATGCAGCAGTTCTATTAAAGAAGAAACATTGCTTAGACAGACATTACACAACTCTGCATCAAAGGAGCAGCACTGTAGAAAAGACAAACTACTTGAAGCACATGGAGAGCAGATCTATTTCCTACACAAAGACACTTCAGACAGAACACAGAACTATTTCTATCCCAGTAATTTCCCTTTCATCTGTTCACATGGCAGATTTTTATCTAAGTGTTCAGTCACAACACTGCTGCTCAAGACATTCCATACAAAACTGACCGCTCTGTCTTCTAAAGACAAGGGTGTTAGCCAACCTCAGGAGCTAAGGACTCAACAGGAATTTTAACAAGACACTGGAAGCAGTAAATTAGAGAAAGGAAGAAGCATGTTGCAAAGTGAGTGGAAATTCAGGTCTCTGTTCACATGTTCTGCAGAATTAAAAGGAGATAAAGATTAGATTTAAACTTACTATAAGTCCATTTGCGTGCTTCTCCTCATTATTTTGGTCCTTAAGGAAAAAATGTTAAAAATATCAACATAACAATCTTGCATGACTTATCAGTTCTGTGCTAAGTGAGAACAGTGAGTTTCCCTCAGGAATGTTCACATTTTCAGCCACAAAACGTTCCTCATCATGTGATAAAGTAACTAAACTTGGAAGACAATTCCACACACACTCACTGCACCTCTGCATTTTCTGAGGGCCTGTCCACATGAGTGCAGACAATTTCAAAAATATCCTTTCTGTACTGCAGAGCACAGTTCTGCTTTATAACGTGGGTGCTGCCCAAATACCTAGGAGCTCCCCAAAATATGCTCTGTGGCTCCTGTAAGTCCCCGAAAAATGAAGTTCTCAGTTTCTGTGATTAACACACAAGAAAGGCAGAAGTTTAAGCTGAAAGGTTTTAACTTTTGCTTTTTGGCATCCACTATATTATAAAATGCTTTTAGATTATTCACTACCTCAGATTTTGGGGTTTTTTGCCCAGAAGCATAAGTGAAAGAGCAGGCAATGTAAAAAACATCTGTCCTCAGGGGAAATGACACGAGCAGCAGACCAGTTAATGCCAATCTGCAGGCAGCACAGTTTTAGCACTGTACAGCAACAATATCAATTCTACTAATATAAATTAATATAAATATAAATTCTATACAACAATATAAATCTCTTCTCTTCTGCTGCAAAAGTTCATACTAGTCAGTACATCAATGCCTAACTTTATCCAGTGTGAACCTCCAAACTTGTCTGCAGAGCATCCCCTGGATCTCCAGATACATTTCAAAGGAACAAGAAAAAAAAAAAAAAAGCTGTAAGAACTATAAAGAAAGTTGGCACATATTTATGTTTTGGTACTTAATACATCTTTCCTTAGCTTATACAGTTGGCAATAGGCTGTCCAAATTTCATCTCTGCCAGTTGACATTTTTGAAGCCTGGCTTTCCATGATAAAAAGAACACCAAGGACAAAAAGTCCCACTGGGTTGCAAATTTACAAAACACCATTTTTTTCCCAAGACAAAAAACCCCCAGGTTGAGTCCACCATCTCTAAGACCTAAGAAATAAAGCACAAAGATGCTGCATGAGCACTGATGCTTGCTCTCCCACCTCAGAAATGCAGCATCAGTAAGGTAAGGAAGGCAGAAATGCCACAAAACTGGGCAGGCAAGACTGGCCAGAAATGGAGTGGAAAAGAGAAGGGAAGGATGTAAAACTAAATATCTAAACTATAAAAGTTACTTCATAACACATATATGACATATCTTTCTAAGACTGAGGTTTACCACATCACTGGCAGAACATTTAATGTACTTTACACCACACCCATGAGCAGAGCTGGACATCTTCAGCTGCCACACACACAAAGGGGACAACACAGGCCAAATGCTCCACCTGCCCATCCAATGTGCTTATTTGGACTGCTTTTGATAGGCAATGAATGTACTATGACATATTCCTGTTTAGCTGGTATTTAGTTCATTATTTTGGAAATGGCATGAGTCACCTCAGAACAAGTGGTGTAATCACACACTCGATTTACCAGCAAGTTTAATGAAAATTTAACTGTCCAAATATTAACACAGGTAAAGATCTATGTAACAGAACAACTGGACACACAATTTTAAAAAGAAACAAAACAAAACTCCGATAAACAAAAGTCCAGGTTTGCCTCAATGTTCCAAAACAATCCACATAATAAATGGTTGTGTGTTGGAAAGAGAGTGTTCTAAGTATGTAGAGAAGTGGTAACACTATCAAGGTACACAGACTGGCAAATCTGTCTGTCTCATGAGAAAGGCACTGTGGAAGTAAAAACGGGGTGCAGGGTGGTGCTAAGATGATTTCTTTTCAGCAGTGTCAGTCAGCAGCCAGACTTGCCCTACAGATTTGGGAAAAAACCTGCAGAACCCTAAAAGGTCTCTAATGGAGAGCACAAAGCTCAAGTCAGGCACAACACATTTTCACACAGATTGCATCATACACAAGCAACTTGCAGAACTGTGGGAAAAAAAACCCCAACCCCTCTGTATTATACATTTTCTACAGCAGTAGGAAATCAGGATACTAACACAGTTAATGGAAAAGGTGTGGGGGGAAGGAAGACAGAATTTCCTTGTAGGTAAAAAGTACAGTTGAATGAGAGACAAAGAAGGTGAAGAGATGAAGCAGAAATGAGGTTATTAAAGTACTGGATTTTTTTTTCCACTGTATGTGGATCAACATCTTGGAATTAGCTGTGCACAAGGCACCCCTTTAACCCACCTTGTCTTCAACAGCTTCAAAAGAGCTTTAGATATGGTTTAGCAAATAACCAAAACAATAAACCCCCACTCCTTAGTGGATAAGCTCACCTATTTACACTGGTTAATATTTAGTGGTAAAAAAGAAAGAAGGACTTCAAGGTCTGATTTAGTGCAACAAAAAGCAAGTGTTAGCACCTTTGGGGGACGCAAATTCCACCTGCCTTTACACTCACGTGGCAGCTGGAGCAGTGAAGTACTGAACCTGATCTAAATTACTGCATCTGCCACTACCAGCTTTGTCCATTATCAGCAAATCACCTAAAGAACTTCAAAATATGTTTTAGCATCAGCATAAGTGGTCACGTTTGTCTAACTCCCAATGAACTCACACAGAGCAGAAACAGGGTTTGATATTCAACAGAAAAAGATAACTCAGTTACCAGCTCTGACCAACAGCCTGAAAAGCAGATTACAACTCTGCAATTTCACATTTGCTAATTACATAGCAGAGCTTTTCAAAAAGAGTAAAATTTCATAGGAATTAAACCCCTGTGAAAATAAGAATTACTAAATATATTTATACAGTAATTAAGAAAAAATGAGCTAGTAATTCCTTGCAGTTTCTCCAACAGTTTCCTCAATACAGCAAATCACAGTGTATTACCATCTAACCTATCTACAATTTACTCCATCAAATCCCTAAAAAAATGACATATTGTCTACTGACTTCACTGTACTAAAACACCTCTAAATATACCCAGGACTAAATAACAGCAAATTAAACAGTGAAAGGCTTTTCCTGCTGGCACTGCAGTGAAGGATTGAAGTAGCATCACTGCATGTTAAATAAAGACTGTACTAGCTCCAAATTCATGTGGCACAAAACTATTTCAATGTTTCAACCCCTGTGCTTGTAAAAAAGTTTTGGTTTTGTACAACCCTCTTAATTAACAAACATTTTCTTCATAAAATCTTAATAGATATGAAAATTGAATTTCACAAAACATGCACTGATCCTTTCAGTGAATGACTTTTGATCCTGTAAGATTTTAAATACTTCAATTTTCACTGCAGTCAAAATTTTGTAAAACATATCTGGCATTTAAAATGAAGACAAACAGCAGTCTTGCATTCCGTAGCCACAAAAAATAGTTGGTCTAGATTACAGGAAAAAAAAATATAATCTAGGAGCCTACACCCATTTCTGGATTAATCAGAATGTGTTCTGAGTAGATCAGCCTGAAATTCTGAAAATACCTTTATTTCTTTGTAAAATATCACCTCCCTTCACTCTGGTTTGTATTGGTTTTGTATCCACAAGACACAAATAAGCAGCTCATAATTCACATACCTTAAATAAAGAATGTTAAACCTACTGTAAGGGCAGAATCTGACAAATAGTAAATCCAAAACTCCCCAAATTTTAAAATCCAATGAAACAAGTAGATGAAAATCATAAGTGCATTACCCAGACTGCATTCTCAAATGAAACAATTCTAACTTCAAGAAGTTCCAACATCCTCATGAACTTCAGACCTGTGACAGACCTTGCCAAACCAGTTTCATTGTTTCCATCATCTTTCTCCCCTTTTTACTTGTTAGCCACAGTCTTAAATGAAGCCGAAAGAAGAGTTTTGTTAAGTTCCTGTTCTGTCAACCTGACATTTGTCTAAGTTCTTCTTTAGTCTAAGAGCAAACTCTGCAAAAGAAAGTTTATCTGAAAGAAAACTCAAACCAACGGGACTGTTACCATGAGCATTAGCAGGACTGTCTGCTGTGGAACTCAGTATTTCAGAAACTTCATTAAAATAAAAGCAGAAATCAACTTATAATTGTTTTCTTGTTCCTGGATCATACAGAAGGCACTTTTAGGTTTCAATTAGATTAATGCTGAAACTAAAGTTCAGAATAGTTTACAGTTTACTTACTTTAGCAATCTGTAGCAACACAATGCAGTGTTTTATTGATTCTACCATGCTCTAGGAAAAGAAAAATATCAGAAAAGATTGTGTTACTATCCCTTAATATTTTGCATTTATTAGTTACATAGAATACTGGGTGTGAACTAAATGGACACTCAGTTCTGTTGAACCCCTACTTTCCCTTCCCCATTTTTTTTCCCAAGAGACAAAACACAGCAGCAGAAAACTGAAGTTTCCAAAGCCACACACAGCACAAAGCCAGGCTGTCAGGGTGAAATGGAGGTCAGCTCCAAACCCCCAGAGTGCTGCAGGCAGGTAAATTATCACGGGTAGAGAGGCTCAGAGGGCTGGGTGTGTTCAATCTGGAGAGGAAAAGGCTCAGGGAGACCTTTTCAAGGGGGATCAATATCTGACTGGGAAGGCAGGGGAAGCCAGAGCAAGACTCTCCTCAGTGGAGCCCAGAGACAGGACACGCAATGGCCACTAACAGAAATACAGGAAAATCACCTCAAACAGAAGAAAACACCTTTTATTCTTTTATGGGTGATAAAACACTGGAACAGGTTGTCCAGGGAAGCTGTAAAGCCTCCAGCCTTGGAGTTACTCAAAACCCAAACTAGATTTGGTCCTGAGCAACCTGTTCCAGCTGATGGTGCTCTGAGCATAGGGCTGGACTACAGACCTTCAGAGGCCCCTTCCAACCTCAATATTCCATGATTCCAAGGTGCTGGACACAAACCTGAACACAGCACCAGAATCAGGTTGCCTCTGCCATCACAATGCTGGACCTAACATGGATTCTCATTTTTCTGTAAAAAGGTTTTAAAAACTTCCCAAAGAATATAAGGTGAATTTCAGAATCAATATATAATAGTTACAAAAATTAAAGAAACTTACACTGGTTGTTTCTTTGAGACCTTCAATTTTCTGTAAAAGAAAAATCAAAACAGTGTGATTAAAGATGGAATTTCCAGCATCTGGTTTGACCTAAATACTGTATAAACACAATATTTTAATTTTAAATTGAGGGAGGGAAAAAAGCCCTTAACCAACATGTTAAAGACTATTTCCATATACAGACAATTTGCAAGACAAGACTGAAGTCAAACTGATAATTAAAGCTCAAAGATGACAAGGTTAAGTATTTCTGAACAGCAACATTTACCCATTAAAATCTACACTTCCTTTTTGCATAGCATCAACAAAAATGAAATGCAGCACGAAGATTCTAAGTTCATTTTGTAGCCTTATAAAGTGCACTGAATGGTGGCACATTTCAACACTATTACACCAAGTGACCATCATTCAGGTACAATAAACATTTGCAGTTGAGCACAGCTTGAAACAAATCACAGAAAATAACAGTGCACACATCTTCCTGCTCTGCCTCCAGTAAAAGTGCATCTGGAAATGTGCCTACTGATTTTATCTAGAAACACTGGTTCATAAAGATTTCCTGTGTGGAACTGCACCTCAGGCATGCAAAAGGCATCTGCATGCCATGTTCCACATGAGGCTCAGGAGCAGATGCTTCCTGTTGATGTCCTTGCCTCAGTCTGCAGGAGGCAAAATCACTAAACTGGACTCAGCACTGAACTCTACTAATGCAATTACAGGAGCTCTTTTGAGAGCTGTTTTGATGAATTTGAGTGTCTCATGTGACTTGAGTCACAATCTTCTCGACTGTTGAATAATCCAAGTGTGTAAAGGATCCTTTCCCTGCACCAGGCATTGCAAGGAAAAGCCTCCAGCATAAGAAAAGAACATGCAGCTATAAATCCACAGAAATGAACAGTCCTAATTTGTGGATTAAAAAGAAAACAAATGCAGTGACAGCCTCTCAGGCAATTCCTGGGGGGAAATTTTCAGCTATGCTCTAGATATAATTCTTATGCTCCAGATATTACTCAAGGGATGCTGTGCATTTTCTTCAGGATTTATTGGCAAGAGGTGGCCGAACAGAACCCAGACTCAGCCCTTCCTGCTAAAAACTGGAAAACCTGGATCATGTTTATCTAGGATATATCATATGAGGGATGTTATACCATGAAGTTATGTTATATTTACTCCTGCTGCTAGCAGAGAAACATGCCAACAGCTAAAAATTCCTTGGCTTTGTTTTTGTTTGTTTTTCACGTCTCTACGAGACTTCCAGTCTAAACTTTATCAACACATATCCAAAAAAGCATTTTAAATATGACAGCATAGAAGTTTTGAGCCTTTTAGCACCAAAATAGAATAGGCAATGCACCCAAACACACAAATCTTCTTGGAAAGATGATGCAGCTGAAGGAGATCATGCAGTCTCAAGGCTGGACAGCCAACTGGAGGCAGCCACCAGCAGCTTTGATCATTCTTTACTCATTTTTTCCCCAACTTGTTATACAGTATTTACACACCAAATAAACTGACATCTCAGTCCCTTCAGTGACATCACCTTTGCTGAAAATAAGAAAGTGACCTCAGGCCATGTGATGCAACTCAGTGATGTTGGTTTCTCCCCTCCCATCTGTAATTTTCCAAAGAGTTCACTGAGACATTGTTATTCTTACACAGAGGTACAGACAAAAGGGTAATTTTATCAAAGATCACATGGAAGATTGAAAGGGAAAAATCCTCAAGACAAGCAGATTTCTAAGGCCTTTCAGCAAAGTACAGAACCATAGTTTTTTCCTCTTTGAAAATGAATCCTTTGTGAGCTGGCCAAATTAAGCAGTGACAATTTGCATTGATCCAGTATTTTTCACATTTGTGCTCTATGACCACCTTGCAAGAACACAGCACTTTGATAAATTAGACACCACAAATCTGTAAGGAAAACCATAAGCAAGTATGTTGAAGATAAAACACATTACCAATAAAAAAACCCAAAAACCCCCAAACATTTACTACTAACATTTATCACAGTTTTCTCGAAGATAAAATTTTAGTAAGACAGTTCCCCTGGTTTCAGTAATGAATACACATATTTTCATCTGACACCAATTTCCTGCAGATCTACATTTGCAGAATGCAGATTTACAATTGCAGAACACAATTTGCTATATTTAATCTAATCCAACTGCAGGCTGCTGCTGAAACTACTCCTCCTACTTGCTGCTCATTGCATCTCCTTGACATCTGATTTTTTAGGAAATCACTGAGAAGGCTAATTTTTTCTCATCCAACATGATTTTTGCCTCATTCAACAATCATGTGACTACAGAGGGATCAGCTCATCCAGCACAGAGAGGCAGCAGAGGCACGGAGGGGGAGCTGACTCACCGCTGAAATCTGTAAGGTGCAACCCAAATCTGTGTGCTCAGCCTTGGATTTACTTCACAAAAAGCACTTGTTTTGAACCAAACAGCTTAAACAGGCTGCACTTGCCTCCCCAAATCCTGTTAAGTAATGTCAGCTTTGTTCCAGCCTGTAAACATGCACCTCTTTGCTATTCTAGTGCCTTTGAGTGCTCCAGTTTTCTTCTCCCTGATGTGCGTGATGTGTAGTCAAGATAACTACACCAAACTGAACAGAAAAGCTGTGCTGGAGTTCCCACCAGTAATATTGGTAACACTGTCTTGTCTTCACCGTGAAACAGCAGCAGCCCCAGATCAGATCACACCCCCTCCTCCTGCCCTCCCTCTGCAATCAGACACAAGCATTCAGCAGAACCGGAGCACTGCTGCTGGTGCGTGATCCCCCCACTCCCTGCTGCTGCACTCCTGCCAGAACAACAATGCAGCACAGGGAATTCATCAAAATCCCTGTGTTTTCATCAGGCCTACATCTGCACTGTCTTCATCTTAATTCAAGAGATTACCACAGCTCAGAAGGAAGATGCCCAGGAGATCTCGAGGCATGTCAGAACACCTATAACCTGTGTCATCATCTTCAAAAGACCAAATATTCTGTAACTAAAAGCCAGCTCGTACAATGCTCTGTGAGCTTGCAAAAACAACAGCTCAGGTTTGAAATCCCTGGCCATAAACAGTTGCAGAACAGCACTCAGCTGGTTGGGAAGCACTTAAAACTCAAATATCCAAAACTTGTTTCCTTGGAGGAAAGAACTATGGGTTTGATGGAAGCATCCTGCAGATTACACTCAGCTCATAATCTGACAGCTGAACCATACTTCCATAAACAAACAGGGAAAATGCTAAATACTGTATCAAAAAACCTCTCAGTACAGGCAGAGACAACAGAGTGGTATGTCAAGTGTTCTTCATTTTTAATAGAGAATAAATGGAATCTGCAGTAATACCAATCCTCATCAAGATTTAAAACCAGAGGATGCCAACCTCTTCAAAATGAGCCTCCTCCTTTCTCTACAAAGTGAATCCATCTGTCCCACAGATACCTTGCACAGACAAATAAAGAAGTCAGCACAACATGTGGAAAGTCTCTAGGGATTAGGAGCACTGCCACAGGAAAAAAGAAAGTACTGCCTGATTTGCAGAGCAGCATCTGGAGGGAGGTCAAAATTGAAGGACAACTCTTCCCAGTAAAACACACTGAAGGAGAAATACAAAATCCTTAGACCTTACTCCTGTGGTCAGTTGTCTACAGATTAAACACACTGACAGAGAGGTACTTCAAAGTTCTTTTAAAAGCCTGTACATGAGAAAGAGCTCCCCAAGACACCACCTAACACATCAGGTGAGATGAATTACACCTGAAAGGTCACAACCATTATAAAGAAGTAAAACTAAACACAGAAAACATCAAAGACTTTTCAAAATAGGAACCAAACACCAAGAGAACACAGCTTGTTTTCCACAAGATACACTGAGGGAGGGAACAAGGATGAAATATACCACTATTTCATGAAATCAAAATTACTGCATTTGCTGAAGAGAAGCAACTGCTCTGTAACAAACCCTTCATAAGGAATTGTTAAATCCCTCCTCCACACACACAAATTAATATATGAAACCAGCATGACACTTAATGCCAAACCCACACCACCAAAGGTATGTGCCAGCCTTTCTTAAACAGTGCTTGAACTGACAGAGCTGGCTTTGGGATGGAACAGGAGGGGAATTAAGAACACAAAGCATTTAATTGAATTATACCCTTGCTTAAAGAGCTGTGCTCCCCACTACTGCATTGCTGGCAGCCTCACTTCAGTGAATGAACTGTGGTATTCTCAGACTTCCAATGTGTCACAGACCTACACAGGATGCAGACTGATTATGTGAAATACATGATTAGGAATATTTATTTTTTTGCCTTGGAATAGCTTTGTAATTCCTAACAACATTTAACCAGACCTACACAGGATGCAGACTGATTATGTGAAATACATGATTAGGAGTATTTATTTTTTTTGCCTTTGGAATAGCTTTGTAATTCCTACCAACATTTAATACTCATCCTTGTTAAAGATTAAAAAATAGCAAATTTAAGTTAAAATGCTTTCAACACTGTTGGAAGCATTTCAATATATGGGATAGCAGAGGAGCAATTATTTCTAACAGACTGAAACCTTTTCTAATGTTATGGTCCCCATTATTACTAAATGAAAATAGCAAATTTAAGTTAAAATGCTTTCAACACTGTTGGAAGCATTTCAATATATAGGATACCAGAGGAGCAATTATTTGATTGAAACCTTTTCTAATGTTATGATCCCCATTATTACTAAATGTTTTTTTGCAAAATAAGTCACAACACAACTGTTGTAAGTTATTCAAATTGCTTGAAGTGATTTTGACAACCCAATAAATGCGTACTTAGCATTTCTACTACAGCAAACTGATGCACAACACCACCTGATAAACAATTTTTAAGACAAAATGTACTTGCTTTTCTCTGTTCATCATCTTTGCAGTTCTGGAGTTTTTCATCAAAGAGCTGAAAGAAAGAGATACTCATGAAAACACTGAAAGTGTTATTTTTCCATATAAAATCAGACCAAACCACCAACACCTCAAAACAAAAAACATTTAATAAGGATAAAGTCATATACAACCCTGGTATTAGGATCCAAAGCAGTTTTGGTCTAGGATTTCTTTACAGCATTTGTGATATAACAGATTTGTAACTAATTTCTCACATCATCCCATCCGGCAAAAGACCGAATCTCACGGCTAAGCCTGACAATTCTACCATGATTTGGACAAAAAGGTGAGGTTAAAGAACATAACTGAACTCATCAGAACAGCCCCAGCTGCCTTTCTTCTATTTCAGCAAAAACCTTTGGGGCATATGAAGCATTTAACCAGAAGAGCTTTAACTCTTATCAACCCTTCCAGGTACTTTGATTCAGGGACATGATCCAAATCATGGAAGATTTGTAAGCACATTTTTTGGGAAGATATGACTTCCTAGCATTAATTTAAGTTTATTGTCTTAAGATGTAACAAACCAAAGGGAAATAAACCCTCGCTGAAAAGCCTGCCTGTGCATTTAACACAAACTGAGCTGAAAGAGTTAACAGAGGCCTCTGAGGGCACTCTAAGGTGCACACACAACCATGGAATTGTTCAAGGAAGAGAAAAGACTATGGGTAATCCTGAGAGTTCATCACATCCACCCTTACAGCTTAGAGAAGAGGATGTAATTTTTAGGAAGTGAGCTGCAGCTCTCCACTCAACTGCTCATGTGTTCCCCTTCCCTTGAGGGCTGATTTCTAGTTCTAAAAATAAACCGTGATCTTGGTCTCTGTCCATCCTCAAACTGACTCATCTTTCATTATTAATTAATTTCTATCCCCCTCCCCCCAGCTGGCCTGAAATAACAATTAGAAGGTGTAAAGATTTAAATACCTTCTATCAGTGAAGTGATGGCTCCAGAGTGGCAGAAAAGACAGCTCCTGATCAAGTCTTTGCAGGGCAGCTCTGAATTTTGTTTGCATCTCCTCTGCCCACCTTCATTTTTGTTGCTGTGCTCATCCCCCTCTGCACCCTACCCTCCAAGTGAATTTTTGCTGAATATCCCACATGCAATACTTGCACATTATATCAGGGGAAAAAATCCAACCCAGCAGAACTGAAGCAATTTAACAGCAATTTTGATCAGCTGAGTCATGGGAAAAAGGTGTCCTGAGCAGCAGCAAAAAGTGTTTTCCTCAAAAAGGTGAGTACTGAGAGATATGACCTCACTGTTCCTTGCAGTCCCATCTATTCTTAAAATACAAAGTTTAAAAAAGCTGTGTTGTACAACACTCCTACAGAATGTTATCACCCAAGGACAAAGCATGGATTATCCACCACCAATGCAACAAAGTCTGAAACTATCTGCAACTGTAGTTACACACCACTTGACAAAATCTACTCAAGACAGAGTCTAAAAATGCTATGAGCAACACAACGATTTAATTGTGTTTCAAAATGAAACTTAACACACTTAACCTTGCAATTTCCATAAAGGTTTTCTTGAAAACAGAAACTTTCAGCCATTGTAAACCATTTTATTTCAATCTGCTTGACATATTCCAATTTTTAACAATCCTAAGAGAAAGGCATTTTCATCTTGATGGACTTTCTCTGTCGAGCTTCCTTTCAAGCTAGCCTTGAAATCCAGCCTGACAAACAGACCCCCAACACAGAGAATGCAGCATTTAGTTACCATACCTTCAACTGGTCTATCAAGATCTGTAAGTAAGCATCAGCCTCAGTAAGTTTCTTGTCAAAATCATGAACGCTGGGAACAAATCCTGAATCCACACCCTAGGAATAAATAAACAAACAAAAATAAAATATTTAATTAGTGTCTCAGAGGAGAAAAAAATACAACAGCAATATGGTTTTGCCTGCCATCTGACTGAGAAAATGCTGCCTTGCCTCTCATCCTGCCACGTGCAGACACAGGCACACAGCTGAACACATTTTGGCTTCTATTTGCAGCTAAATCAGTAGCAGTAAATTGCTCCACATTTTCAGAGGGGGTATAATCATCACACACCAGAGTATTTCATTACTTATGATTGAACAAATCCTCTTAAATTACACTGATTAAAGTTTTTTTTTTATATAAAATAGAAAGGAGAATTCACATTTTTCTGAGGATTGTCTTGTGATTCCATATCCTTACACTTCAGCTAGGGAAGCCCAAATCACCCACTGGGGTAACTGCACATTTCACACTTTACACAGTATTGCTCAACTCACAGCTCCCTAGCTAAGAACTGCTAAATCTTTTCTTAAATACCTTTGATCTGAAAAGTTCAAAATTATTAGTCCTGGTTGCCCTAGTTCCTTCACAGCTATAGTGATTTGCATCCTTGTCACTGTATCTGAATTTTGACACTGTTGCAGGCAGAGCACCAAGGACAATGTACCAGTGCAATGAAAATGATTACTTTCATATTTTCTTGCTTGGCAATTTGTTTCTCCTAATAACAGAGCATACTTCTGTATATAACATAATCCCTGTCTCTAAACTGATACACCAGTGATTTAAAGACCCAAACAAAGTCCCACTGGGATACCACACCTTTAGAGGAAAGAAAATAGAGGATTCTTGATTACTCCTGCCTTCATGCACATATGCTATGTGAACACATTAAAGGTTTACTTATATAATACCTTTAATGCAAATGGAACTGAGAAACAAATACTGAAGTTGGAAAAAATTGTACACTGCAGGATAAACATATATAGGAGGAAAAACCCATGAAGAATAAAGAAGCAAACATCAGCTGTAAAATAACATAATCCTGAGAACATCACAGCAGTGACAACTTTGCTACCAGCCTCGATATTTTCACCTGTGTTCACACTGATCTCAAACAGGACAACTTCAAACTCTGCTGAAAACATCAACTGCTGTTGGAACGGCTGAGGATCTCAAGAGTCTGAGCATGTAAAGGAAAACTTTCCACATGGAGGAACACAGGCAATCTGTATTTAAAAATTCCACATTAGTGTAACGTCTTTCTTTGGCATTGTTTGCTCTGTCAGAACAGACAATTTCTCTTATTTTTGTATGATACTGGGCGATCATATTCAGAATTTTACCGATGGCTCTTTAGAGGTGTAAGCATTTTTGTGCAGTAGTGGAATGACTTGCACACAGTAGCTCACACAGCCTAAAACATAAACCCATCTACTGACTGTAGAAAATATTATTCTTTATTCATTTGCTACAGATGGCTATGCAGATCTTGACAACAGCTCTACAAGAGTACATCTATCCATACAGCTGGGTTTGTAATCAAAATTAAGGTACTTCACCTGTATTAGCCAACAGGGTCAAATTTAGAAACAGTGTTGTGAAGCAAGGAGGAAGGAGGAGAAGATGTGGAAAAAAGCCCCAACATTTTGACTGTGACAAAAAAATAAATTCAAAAAGCACTGAGTGTAACAAGTTATTAAAACAACTAATAGGCAGAAGGGAAAGTGCTCTCAACCCAGCAACTTTTGACTCTCCCTCAAACTAGCTTAAATTACACTGAAACTACATCTGAAATGATGTGAAATTAGTATTCAATTTCCTTGTACAGCTACCAGCCAAACTCATCAGTTCAGCAAATGGTCCTGCAAGCTCAGTTAAAAATTCTGGAGGTCAGGTTTCATGTACCAAACCACATACAAGAAATTTCTGCTGAAGATAATATACATAGAAATACGGTTTACTGTGCATGTTATCTGTATGCTGCATCAAAATGCTGATTTTTATTTCAGTCCTCACTCTATGACTATGAACATGTAACCACCTGATATTTTTAGTGGTGGCTTAAAGATAAAATGTCATTCTTAAATTTCAGGTTCTTAGAGCTAAGGGAAAAGCTGATCAAAACACTCAGTGTTACAACTGAGCAGACACCCACACAAAACACAGAGTGAAAATTGTAACCTAAGAAGCTCTATTAGAAAATTAAAACTTCAAACAATGTAAAGAGAAAGCCATAAAACCAGGTAAAGTGTCAAGCTGAACATAACAGAGATGAAACATAAGAATAATTTTGCACAGCACAGGAACTTAAAGCTCCAGCACCTCACTAGTTTGCTCTTGGGTAGTTAAGATGAAATTTGATAATCTTCTCAGCAAATTTATTAGCCTGTCTTATATGAGATTAGGTTAATAATTTAAGTTCTCACATAGTTTTAGAATTGAAAACTAAAAGATACTTGGAAAAGTTGAAAAGAGCAATACCATAGAAAAAACAGTCTGGATAAATAGCAAACAAAATCAATCAGTATTTCAAACCCAGCAGTAATTTAGAAAGAGGAGATACACAAAGTGCACATTTTGCAGAACAAATGCTTATTTCTTGATCTTCTGGTCCCTCAAAGCCACAGTAAAGGTAAAATGGGGGCCCTTTCTCTCCATGAAGGAAATGAGGCTTCAAAAGAAAGAGGTGAGCAGAGTCACTAGAATGGCATTTAACAGCTTGGTAAACTTGGACATTAGGAATCTGCACATCTCAACGAGCAATCAGATTTTTATGAGGAACTTGTTAAAATACACTGCTCACCTATTCACAGGCTGACAAAACAGGTTGCCTGCAGATATTGTTGAACCTCCACCCTTGGAGGGCAGAGCTCCAAACTCAACTGGATTTGACCTTTGACAATCTGATCTAAAGGATAAGTTTGCCTTGCAGTGAGAAGGTGCTTGGAACAGGCAACTTCTAGAGGTCTTCTCCAGCTGAAGTCATCATGTGATTCCAAAATAACTATCTTCAAATTATGGAAAAGAATAGGAATCCAGACTATTTCTGATCTTCAGAAATGCACTGACTCTATCTTACTGTCAGTACCTATCTGAAGTAGTAGAATTTGTTTTTCCATTGAGTAACTACATCTGTTTGTAAATACACTTTATAAACCTCAAATAAATACTCTGTATTCCTGTAAGTTTAAAAGAATTAACAGATTAAATATCTGCAGAAGGGAGTAATTATAAAAATTTTAGTCTGACCACCACCTTCCAAACCAGGAAGTTCAGTGTCAAAACAAGTAATGTGATGTCTGACTGCTCCCCACCAAAAGAAACCATACTGATAAGAACTCTAGAGAAAAGAGAAAAAGGTACCATCGAATTCTTTCCCTCATCCTCCCTCCCTCCCTCCCACAACTTCTGGAATGTCCCTCTCCTTCAGGACACAGCAAAAGCTCAAGGCCCAGAGTGTCCAGGGCACATCTCAGAGGCAGTGTCTGCAGGAGGCAGGGCCCAGCAGCACGGACCAGCCTGAGCTCAGTGTCCCAGGGGCATCTCTGTGATCCCCAGTGATGTGGAGTGACCACACAGCATGGTTTTCCTAGGAAAGGGTTTCCATGCTGCTCTCGAGTTGAGTAAACAATTTGCATGCTAAAGTCCTGCAAAATTATTCCCTTCATGCACAACCCTTTTTTTTGGAGGAGGTAAAGAGGAGGGCAACAACAAAACCTAATTAAAAATACATATTTTGAGCCTTATTTTCACCACAGAACTGCCAGCACCAAGGGAGTTTTGTGTTGTTTCCTGGTCCTCCAAATTAGAAGTCACACATATCTCTAATGCATTTGTATTCAAAACTTGTCCATGCTGAGAAGTAATTCAGCCTAATTTAAACCAGTTCTTTCAAACTCAGATGGGATGAAAAGATTGCATCCTCCTTAGAAGAAGCATACCAGAAAAATTCAACTATATTTCTCAAATAAAAGCATTACAATAATAGCTTTCCTGGGGGAGGAAGGCAGAAAGCTGTACAGAGTAGAATTTCGTATCTTTTTGAAGACACTTCTTCTGCATTCTTCATCTAATTAGGATTCCAAATCTAACAAAAAATTCCTGTGTAATTTAGTTTGAAGGAGTGAATAAGAACGTTTTCCTTTCATCCACAATATCTCAACAGAAACATATCCCTTGTCTACATGCTTGATTTTGATGAGCTGGACATTGCCTGTAAGGACCACTGATAAAAAATTGAAGAAAAACATGAAATGAACTTGTAAGCCATTAAACAAGGGCACTTTTGTGGCAAAAAAAACCCTCTATTTTTTTCCTCTGCTAGATTTTTATGCAATATTTGACGCTCAGAACATGTTTGAAAACAAATATATAGTGTGTGAAAAGCATATGACCCTTCAAAACAGAGTACTGCAATTCTTAGAGGAAAAAAAAGAAAGGTTCTACTTTGCAAAACACAAAATGCTTAGCAAAGACTGTGTACCTGTAGATACTATCAGATCTCCAAGAAGAACAGAAAGTTCAGAAGACAGGAACATTTACACACTGATGTAAAATTCTCTCTTTAAAGCATAGGTTTATAATTCTGAAACCTCATAATACAAAGTATATCTTAGAGTCCCATTCCTTTACCTTTACAATCTATAATCAGTGCAGATAATGCACATGTTCTAGGGTATTCAGCCACTATCCTGATTATTTCATTAGAAAAATCTGAAAAGAGCAGCATGGCTGCCAACCCTATGACCTCCCACTACTGCTTGAAAAACATCTACACTGGATACATGTTTAATCTAAAAGAGCCTGGTTTTAGTTTTGGGCAAGAATTCTTGACTCACAAAAGCAGCAGCACCGAAAAGCCAGTTAATAACAATACAATATACTTTAGAGTGTAATATACTTAACACACAAGGAAGTTTTATTCTACCTTGTGTTCTTGCTCGCAGCTTTAGAAAGGTCAGAAAAAATCCTGGTTAATGTGGTACTAAGTGAACTGCTACTATCAACATTTCATAAACACTTTGAACCAGCATAAATGAAGGGGAAACAAATCAGTTCCCCTGCTGTTTACTGTAGCCTTCACTCTGCTCTTTATTTTGAGTCAGCATAAACGTTTACCTTGTCACATAAACAACTCAATGTGGAAACTAATCAGGGTTAAAAATAAATGCAGAAAGACAGAGCAGCAAGAAAAGCAATTTTAAGTTCCAAATTCCACCCTTCTTGCCACACTGCCTCTTCCCTTTTGCTAGGAGAAGTGAGACAGGACTGCTTCCAGAAGCAGCACCAATTCCTACATTTTGGTGAAGCCATGGTGTAAGTCAGTGTTTGAGCCATTGTATCTTCTCTTCTCAACAGCCAGCACAGACCCACTTATTAGAATCAAGTTTTCTTATCATTTGCTACCCAGGAAGTAAACATCTTGTTTAAATTATGAAATTATCAACCTACAAAGCAATTAATTTTCACTTAATTCCTTTCATTTTAATGGTGGTTAGAAATGGCCCACCTTCATAATTTCAGTTCCTTTGTCTCTACAGAGGCCACTTAGAGGCTGAAGTAAATTAGTGTAGATCAAATAAGGAAGTTACTGTGTTACTGTGCTCCTAAAAGACATGAGCTATCCATTATAACTCACGAGACAATTCCAGAGCCGAATTCCACTGCCCAAAAGCACTTGTAGCACTAGGGTGCTGCCAGGGTGTACTTGACAGCAAGGAAAGCAGGACAGTGAGAAGCATGTCCTGTCTGAATGGGACTGCTGCTTGACATGAGATGCTGCTGAGGAACTGAAGAAAATGTGAGATCGCTTATCTCCCCACACAAACACGAAACCTTAGCCACAACATGCCTTCACCCCAGGCACACCCTCCCCCTTAGGTCCTGTGGGTCCGAGGCAACTGCTGTGCTGCCCCTGCAAAGCCACAGGCCTGCTAATGCCACAACAGTAACAATTTGGGGAGACAAGGGGAAAAACTCTGCGGGGGTCAGAATGCCATTTCCAGTACTATCACACCACCTGTTCAATGACTTTTCAATGGACACAGCTAATACTAGAACTACTACATGTACTGTTAGCAATAGCTTCAATACAAATGCATACGAAAACACAGCACAGTTCAGTTTCAAAATTCAAACAAATCAGGCGTCAAGTGTATCTGAAACGCTTCCTCACTGTTGTTGTTCCCTTTGGCTACAACATTACTAATTGTCAGCCCTCTGGACAGTTTGGGTCCCTTTATACATTCTATGTATTTATGACTCAGTTCCTTGACTGTAGCTCATTATAGGCTTGGGGGGAGGTGGGGGCAGAAGAAGCGTGTTTCATTCTGTGTTTCAAAAACATTTCCATTACAAACAGTGAAGGACAGCACAGCAGAACATTTAGGCAAAAATAAAACCAGCAAGATTAATCAGGCTAGAGAACACAAAGACACCACTTCACCTCTCCACCTCGCATTAACTCGTAATCCTTCCTGCTTTGGTTCACACAGCACACGAACCACCTGGGCTTTGGTACAGTTTCTCACAGATCAGATGAGTTTTTGGTGCAGTTAAGTCAACTTTAAGTCTGACTTTCAAACTTGAACACTCCTGTACTAGCACAGGCAGACTGAAAAGCAGCATAGAAATATGAAAAAAAAAGACTCTGAAAAGATACAACACTTTGGACACAACCAGACGCCTAAAGGTTTTAAGTGACTGTGAACCACATGTTTATTTAGCGACAGAAACTAAGAACCTAAGAAAATGCCTTTACAGAAAATAATCTCTGCCGCGGCACTCAGACCCCGCCATCCCGCTGAGCCAATAATCCCCCAAAGAACCCGCTCCGCTGTTTTGTCCGAAGGAAAAGGAAAGCGAAAGAGCACCGAGGGCACGAAGCGCCGTTTTGCTCAAACGCTGCTGAAGCCGAGGCGTGTCTGTGTGGCGGAGAGCAGCATCCCTGCGGGCACACGGGACCTGGCAGCACCCGCTGCTGCCCGGAGCCATCCGGGCGCTCCGTGCCCGCGGCCCCGCTCCCGTCCCCGGGCAGGGCAGGGCAGGGCAGCACTCCCGGCCGCCAAGCGCAGGGGCTCGCTGCCCGCCCGGGGCTGCCCCGAGGGACACCCGCAGCCCCGACCCGCGGCCCCCCGTACTCACACCGGCCATCCCTCGGCGCTACGAGCGCAGCGGAGGAGCGGGGCCGGCCGCCCGCCCGCCGGGCCCCGGCAGCGCCGCCTCCAGCGGGGCGGGAAGGGGCGGGATGGGAAGGGCAGGAGCCCCCGGCCGCGGCCCCGCCGAGCGCGTCACCGACACGGCGGACGGAGATTGGAGCGGGGGCGGCCCGGCCCCGGGAGCCGCGGCCAGGGAGGGAGGGGAAGGCCAGCAGGGCCCGGCCGGCCGTGGAGCAGCGGGGATGTCTCTGCCCAGATTCACCCAGCCCGCGCTCGGCCCTGCGAGCATCCCCCCAAACTTCGGCCTCTGTTCGTGCCGCCCCCGCGTCCCACCGGCGAGGGAGAGCAGAAGGAAGGCCACGCTCCTAAGCCATGAAAGAAAGAGGTTTGGCAAGGAGCTGTTTCATTCTTAAATCGGTTCAGCAGCTCCCGTGGCAAGCCTTGGCAGTTCCTGAATGGGGTGTAAGTGAACACTTCTGCACCGACTCCACAAACAAGGGCCAGAGGCTAAAAGGTTACATGACCCGTACACTGAAGAAGCTTCTTGAAAATGAGTGGTGAGCACACAGCAGCGGCCCACAAACTATTACATTCAATGGTGAACATATTTACAAGGATGGAGGATGTGTTTCTTAGTACTCGATTCAGGTTTTTTAATTATTCCCTCAAACATGACTAGATAAATTACTAACTGGGGCTTTATTTTTTTTTTCCTTACTTATTTGAAAATCTCCAGGAACTAGAACAGTTATGTAATGGGAAATAGTTCCATTATTAGCTGCTATCATGAAATCTATTTCCACCAATATAACTACACTCACAATTTCTAGAGAGCATAGAAGTATACATTTTGATAAAACCAATGTATGTTCTGGTGTTTCATTCCTTGACTCTGTATCTCCATGTCATAAAAAGTCTTCCAGCTGGAGAAAGCAGCACAGATTTCTTTTACTTCATTTCACCTAAACAGGACCACTCACATTAACCTATTCACTTTCTAAGCTGAGGATGGGGAAAAAAGCATTCCTTGGGAGCGAGCTCAGCCCTTCTACATCCACATATTTTTCCCTAGGTAATCCCTGTCTCCCCACATCCACTGCAGAGTGGGGTTCTTCAGCCCTTGGTCAGCTACAGTGTCCAGATGCAGAGATCACTTCTAACATACCCATGGCACAGTAGGAGGGGTAAAAAGCTGAGTGTTGAATGGGAATTTTTATCCAGAGATCTGCTATTCTCTAAAAAATTTGTAGCGGTCTTTAATAGATGAAAGAAGGTTGAAACTCACTGTCTAACAGGTAAATTTACCAAGATACCACAATGGTCTAAAGTTGAATGGGCCAAATTCAGGCTTGTTCTAAACCTTTAGATTGGGCAAATGTCATCTAAATCAGTCTTCATAAGCTTCTCTTTAAGTGATATTAGAGATTTCACTCTATCTTTCTTCACACTGAACCAAATGTTGAGACCTAATTCTCCTGGTATGCTACAAAAGCACAACCAAAGCTTTATTCAACACAAATAAAGAAGACCTGCTTTAATATTTCTACACTGTCACCAGACACCTATATGTTACAAACCAAATCCCTTTCATGAGAGTTTGGGTTTCCCTCCAGGGCAAAACAAATGTTCAGCAAGTCTTATAGACACGTCCAGCTCTGGAGCATCACCAGAAACTGATCTTAGATGATAGAACCACAGACTGTGCAGAGCTGGAAGTGACCCACAAGGATGACAGAGTCCAACTCCTGGAACTAGGTAACTAGAGTTAAGAACCATCCTCAATCCAACCATCTGTCTTTAGAACCAGAAAACCACTGACACCCAGCTTACACAGTGATATCCAGCTTCAAACAAGCTATTTATCATTTTTATCATCCAGAAAAAGGTTCAATCCTGCTATCTTATTTTAATTTCCAAGTTAGGTGGCATACAAGCACACAAGAGCCTTGATCCAAAAAGGACTCCTAGTTTTAAGCAAAAAAACAACAAAAAAACCCCAACTAAAACCCCAAATAAATGTACAACAATAAATCCAGAACCTTACCATAAATACACATTATAAATAAATATGAGTCAAGGATAACTATATATATAATAAATATGAGTTAATAAAGGAAAGTGTCATTCTGACTTTTCATTATGGTAGGACAAGAAAAATGTGACAGACTCAAACCTAAACAGATGTTTTACTATATCCAATTGTATAAGCCATAGAACAGCCAGATTTTATACAGGATGTGTTGGATATTAGAAGTCATGCCACTGTATCACATAGCTTTGGAAAAAACAAAAGTAAAACAAGCGAAAACTGAAAGTGAAACTTGCCTGAAGTTGTAGGGTATGGCGGAGGATGGTGTCCTCTAAAGCATGGATCCACTTCTCCCTCTCATCTGCATCTCGAGCTGAAAAAGAATTCAAAAGAATTGTTAAATTACATGCAGTCTTATATACTAGAAGGCATAGGCAAACAGATCTGATGTCCACACTAAATAGGGAAATTAATCACACTGTGTTAATCACCAAGCACATAATTCCACAATTGTCTTAATATCCTGTTTCTTCTTCTGTGGTTGCAGCTCTGTTCCTTGTCCAGCTTTAGGGAACATATGCAAACAGAGTTTGCACAGATATTCCTCAATTCATTACATAATTTTAAAATTTTCTTATTTACAAGAAAATTATCTGTAATAAATTATCTAATAATTCTGCTTCAGTGTGGACATAGTAACTTTCAGGAATGGATTCATAATATGGGACAAACACCCCTAACAGGTCACTGGTGTGAATAATGAGGCACAAAGAATAATCTTAAACATAAAACAAACATTAAATTGAAGAAAATCCTACTCTAAAACTGCTTTCTTTCCCCCCTATCCCCAGTACAGACAAGCCACCTTTACTTCACTAGTCTGAAAGAGTTCCTTGCTGTGCTCTAGGAGTACTTAAAAAACAAAGGAGTGGGGTCATTGGACTCCAGGTAAAGAAAGAAGGGAAAATTCCAGAGGCATTTTCCAAAATAGACTGTAAACAAACTGGCCTGTAAATGGATTAAGTTATTAACAATTGTTTCTAGTTCCTCACTCAAATGGAAGATATTAAAAGAAACAGGAAGCCTGCTAGAAGCAAGGAAAGCTTAAGTGAGCTAGCACCTATTATGAATCAGTGAATTGAGATTTCTATCTCACTTATTTTTCAGAGGAAATATCCTTAGGCTATAGTGAAATGTACTCTCCAGCTCAAAATACTTTGTTTCAATGTTCTCTTCCTCACCCTTTTGTTTCCATTGCTTTTATTTTTTGGATTTCTGCAGCTTAAACCTATCAGTACTTAAAAATGCCCCATGTCTTCTGATTATGTAGATTTTTCTAAACTCCCCAAAGATAACCCTACCAATTTAAACATAAACATACTGCACTGTTTACTTCAGCATATATACACTAATCATGTCAAGTTAACAAAACCATCAGGAGAGAACTGACAATGTATATGCAGGTGAGAAATAATTAAGATTGTATTTTTAATAGACAAGCTTGCTCAGAGCCTAACTGATGAGGTGGCCTCACAAAACAGTGGGACAAAATTTTCACTACACACAAGGTTTCAGCCACAAAACCATTAACCTGAACAAATTAAAACTAAACATAAGGAAAAGTGGCTACCAAAGTGCTTTTAGATGCACTTTGAGAAAGAGGGAAGTTCAAGTAATTAAATGTTACTCGGAACAGCAGACGAGTTTCCTGCAGGAAATGCAGCAAGGGTTAAAAAGTTGGATATGTCTTATTAGAAAGAACTTTTAACTTACAGGACTCTTCTTACTGATGATCCACATTTTAATTGAGAACCTGAAGCAGGCACTGAGGACAAGTTTATAATTCAGTGAAAGCAGACAGGATGGAGGGACAGGACCCTGTCAACTCTGTCCCGTGACTGCATTACTCCAAATACATTTTGCAACATGCAAATTACAGTCTTTCTTTTCACATTCTGTACACACATGCACACACAAACGATGTTCTTTTTGCACAGCATTACACCTTGACACTAGTTTCAATTACTGAACTAATCAACTAGAATCAATTTTAATGCTTCCTAGTTTCTTTGGTTCTGCTTACCAAAACCAGGCTCCTTGGCCTAGTCCTGCCAGACATATCAATCAAGTTTATTCTTCCTATACTATTTTAGTTTATAGCTTACTCTTCCTATGTTATTCTTGCAGTCACCACTAAACATATATAATTACCTTTATCATTAATCTACCAGTATTCAGTGCTTTAAATTTCCAAAGGTGTGTCTAAAACAATAGTGCTTTGGACAGCATTATTTCAATGTGTGTAAGGTTTCTGTTTTTCTGTGGTGTTTTTTTAATCACTATTTCCCAGTCCCAAAAAACATCTTACTGGGGAACTGGGGTACAAGTCACTGAGGTGCTATTAAGTAATTCATGGGATACAAATATCCTATGTTGAAGGGTTTTTTCCCACGATTATTTAAACTAAAAAGGAAACAATTAAGCTGCAGACCAGTGAATTAATCCTTGTATTGCAGCAGGATTCCTGTGATCTTCCATACTGCCAGCAAAAAGAGGTCACGGTATTAGTTAAATACTAATCTTAATATACAGCAGCCCATTAACAAAGGTTATCACATTCTGGCTTGAATCTGAACCCCCAGCAGAACAGGGAGGCCTTACAGCAGCAGGGAAGACCTAGAAACCAACCAACCCATACAGTTCCAAAGTGAAACTGACTTTCTTGTGCTCATTAATAAACTGAATTTTTCAAGCTTCTGCTTCTCCAATGACCCCTTTACAGCTCTCTCTACCAGGGCTCAGCAGAGCAGGAAAAAGCTGGGTTTTTTCCTCATATATTAGACATTGCAATCTTCTGGTATAACATGATCAATCCTTAGGGAGCACACATCAATCCTGCTACTTAGAGAAAGTCTCGGGCACAATAAATCCAGGAACACTGCCATGAGAAGACTGCTTACTGCATGGAAACACGGCATCAAAACCTTTTAAGCACTCTGTTCAGGACACTGGTTTAATTTCAGACCATCTATCATCAACAGCAGATCCTCCTGGCTCTCCTCCATAGACTCTTAAGAAAACCATGGAGAAAACCAGCAGGATGCAGTTTTTAGTAAAGCAAGATGCAAGAAAAATTATATTAAATCTAATCAAAATGGCTGCTGTGAGATTAGGTGCAAGTAAAAGCTCCCTAATGGTAAAAGCAATTTAGAACTGAACAGCTGCTAAAAGATCACTGATGGAAAAAAAAAAAAAATCAATGGCAACATTCAAAAAAGAGATTAGTCGACACACTCAGAAAGAATTTATGGGAAAAAATCTACACACAATGGTCAGAGATCATTATCTACCCATCTGTAGGGAAAGCTAAATATCCAAGCTGTTTTTCATTTAAAGAAGGCAACTTTGGTCAAAGAAAAAGTTCAAATACCTTTGCACCTAAGAAGGTTGTGATGCACACCTCCTAATATCCACTCTGTATCTGCAGATGCTTTCTTCAGCAGGTAGGGACAAGAATGCCCTGCTCATTAGTCCTTGCCTCAAGTACCCTGAAATCACTCCAACTTTTCCATTATTTGACCAGGTTCCACTTTAAAGTTAATCCCCTCCTCAATTCCTATGTGAAAGCTACTCCAGAATTTGTTTCTGACAAAACATTTGGGATAAGGCAATTCTTATCTACTCCAAGGAATTACACTGGTGTGCTTATACAAAAATAGAGGAGTTTTATCTGGTCCCTCCTGGCACAAAACTTCTAAAAAGAGAAGAAAGACAAGAGAGATAAACAAATTGCTTTTCCCTAGGCTGATTCTAGAATAACAGTATTACAAAAAACCAAACAAGAAACACTGAAGGACACCTGGACATGAGAACTACCTGACACTTAAAAACAGAAAGGGGGCTCTTAGTCTGAGGGGTTAATGCAAGTGTTACCTGGTCAGCTGAAATTCAAATTGTGCTAGAGCATGTAACTACCCACAAAAATAGCCATGCTATGTCTGCAGTTGAGAGGGCACTAACAGGGCCTGTGTTTTTCTCTTAAGTCCTAGAATTTTAATTCAGTTTTTACTGCAATTTAACAGTGAGCATTTGCACGTGAAAGAAGCTAAATCCACACAGAGCTGCATAATCACTGCTGTGTGCAAGAGACTGGAATCATTAATGGCTGAAACATTGCAATTCACTGTGATTATGTCAGTTAAGCTATTTTTACTTTTTTTTTTCCTAGTAGAATTAGTATTTACAAGCTAGATTAGAGTTTGTTCCCATATGCCTAAGCCCTCACTCCTCTGTGTCTGTGGTGCATCCTTTGAAAGACACCTGTATAATTTACTGTGACATCTCAGGCATATCTAAGACAACCACAGGGTACTTAACATGATCACAGCCCTATTTATGACTAGTTCAGAGAAACACACTTGAAAAGTATGTCATTTATTACAATGAGCTTTAATATGATTTTTTTTAATGTGTATTTTTTGTGATCTGTTGGTCGAGCTTATTCCTAAGATATTTTCACATCAATCTTATACTAAAAAAAAATCTGAACTCTCTCCTAGAGGAGGTCCAAAGAAAGAAAAACAATTATTTGATCAAAGAAAAAACTATAGAATGAAAAAAGGAGTGAACACTAGAATTACTGCTTCTACTGAAGAATTTCTGTAATTCTGAAAAACTGAAAAAACTCCCTTTTTGTTTTATGAAACTGTCCTTTATCTCTGAACTTTCCAAACTGCTAAATCAGATATGTCAGGGATTTTTAAAAGTTCTATTCTATGAGGATAAGAAGTCAAATGAAATGCAACTACATTAGATGCTCTCAGCCTCTATTAATTTTCCAAATAGAGAATAAATTTTATAATTTAGAGTTCCTACAATATTTACTTAGCTGTGGAGAGATTATATGTGTTTATATAACGTATACCAAATGTTAAAGTACAGCATAAAACAGATTACTTTTTCCAGCCTAAGCTTGATAGCATCTAAAGATTAGATATAAACAAGTTTAACAACTCTGCTCCACGATACAGCATTTACCACCAGCATTTCTAGGTCATGCACAGCAGTACTTGGAAGACAGAATACACACAAAATATATCACCTCAGAATCTGCATACTGGTGCTTATTTTTTTGTGTGTGTGCATCTATATGGGCATTAGGATGAAAGAAAAACCTGAAGAATTAGTGAGAAAAATTTACTAGATTACTTATAAAAACACCACACTGTCACAAGAAGAAATGCATATTTTATTTTCATTCACTGTGACCTACTTACAGGCAGAACTCAGTAAGAAGAGTCTATTACACCCACAGAGTCAATAGAGTCAATTATGCTGCCTTTATTCTGACAGAACTTCCACTGATTTGTATGC